AACGATAAAAAATACAAGAGCTCTCACAAGCGTTGCAGCCATCTTGGCATGCATACTAATCATCCCAAAACCATCGAAGAAAGTAAAATAGTGGTGCATGAGAAAACTTGACAGAAGCCACCTACAGCTGAGACTAAAACCTTAAAACATGGTTTCATCCCCGAAACCGTGCAAAAACTGTACGAATTATCCCTCCAGATCAAGTGTGACATTAAAATAACGATGTCTCAGTATAAGATTGTAAAAAAGTCTCGCAACTAAAATGTCTCTTTTTAGCGCCAAAATTTTTGACCGCGATGTATGCCCTCAATGCTTAACTGATACACATTCCCCAGATCATACGTTCTTACGCTGCTCTTTGGTTATAGTCTTTTGGAAGACCTTTTAAAACTGGTGGACAAATAAAACGAAACAGCAACTAACATTATCAAATAGTACGATTTTATACGGTGTTTTCGACAAAACGAACATAGATACTCTTTGAACTAAGCGCTTCTGGTTGCGAAGTTTTCTATATACTGCGGCTGCCTACACGACAAAAAGCTCTCTTTCGACAGTTTTCTCATACCTCTAAAAGAAAACCGCCTGTACATTAAATTCATCCCAGTTTCCATCATTGAGCAGTGAAAGCAAAATATTGCTGATATGGAAACATCTTTGAGCGATAAAATCTAAGGAAGTCTTTTCCGCCGGAAGTAACGTCTTCTTAATTTCCTGACATTTCTCCGAAATGGGTGTCTCTATCGATGGGGTATTACTTCCTTCCGGAAATGATGTCACCTTTCGATTTCGAGCCGGAAGTGATACAACTTCACCAGCATTTTGTTTATGGACGAGGCTACGTTTTCTGGCCGCTAATCTTTTGAGAGGAATCTTTCGTTCGCTTGTCTCAACAGCAATTCTCCCTTCATCCAGCAGTTCGCTGGTCAGTGTGTTGATCACTGTTTTCCATAAGGAGAATGTCACAGTGTAGCGCGTCTTGTCTGTATGGAAACGAAACCAGTAGACAACAATACCTTAAAGGCAATCTAACCCTGATTCTCGTTGGAACAATACTTCATCTCTAACCTCTGTTTTTCCATTTTTTCTACACTGACTAACCCTTATTTTCACTTCGTAAAAGTCTTTCATTTTCTTTGATCTTGCCAACGAGGAACTCTGGGGAAAGATACATCCAATCGCTCTTGTTGTAAAACGGTTCTCACAAATTGTAAGCACCATGAGATGATCTTTCTCGATATTTGGGAAGTCCTTCGCATTCTTCACAATTGATACGGGCTTCGTGGGTAATCGTATAACACGAAGGACTGGCCGAGTATTTCCAAAAGCATTTGGCACGTCTTCGGGTTGGACTACAAACTTGTTTTTGTTTCCAATCATAAGAGTGTGGCAGCTTTTGACTTCCGCTGCCAAAGTGTATTCTTCGACTGTTGATTTCTCATCGGCCGGAGTGATTATCCTTACAAAATCAGCGTGAATATCAATTGCCTGACATGATTTTTGCGAATCGTCTTTAAGTACAAGCTCTTCGGATGATCCATATCTCCGTAACACACGCAAAACCAGCTCTTCGTCATCGGAAACTTTCGTGAGCCCATCGGAGACATCGGTAGGCGTCGTGAGGTCAACGAAGGCGACGGTATTGTTATCGCCAATTTGTAAACAAACAGGCTGAGTTTTAAGCTTGATTTGTTTTGGTAACGACTTTACACATGAGCTGTCACAGTCTCTTCTTCCTCTCCCTTTTGGCAAAACTACTTCAACGATCTCACCTCTAATTTCATTTCCGTCTGACAAAGTTCGCCGCATTTTTCTTTCCTTGCCTTCTTCGCAAACGGCTAACTCCATTTGCGACTACGCAATACGTTTCGACGCCTTTTAAATCCAAGAATGCTATTTATATTTTACACGTTTTCGTTTTTCCCTTTCAGGCGTGAGACATTTCGTCTGAGAGATTTCGAAAGTCCTCTGAAATTTCATGCGACCGTGAAATTTGGCTGAGAAAAAGAAGCGAAATTTTTCCGTGAGAGCTAGTCGGTCTACTAGTTGCAATCTCGTGATCTTATGTTTACGTGTTTCTTATCGTGCCGTCATGGGTATTCCCCGCACAGGCTAAGCCTGTTTTGTTTGTCACGAGATACTCAGCTGAACTGTAAATACTTAACTATGTTGAAGATGCACTGTTAGCATTCTATCCTTGTACAAAAGCTTTTCTCGAGTGCGTTGTAGTTCAGGACGGCAACATTATTTTGTTGGCAACAACCGATTGAACAATTAAACCATTTCAATTGAACAATTGAACTATATATAAGACGCAAGAAAAGCTTTTCACGAGTGCGTTGTACTTCTAAAAGGAAACATTTTCTTGGAACGCAACAACCGATTGAACAATACACCTTTTTCGCCGCTGACGTTATGAAGCTGTCACGTGGTCTCTATTGGGTAAACAAGCTCGTGAAGTGCAGCACGTGAGTTTTAGTTTTGGAACCATGGTTCACTA